CCCCGTTGTTTATTTTCAAGAAACAAACAAAAAAACAAAACTAAATAATTTGTTTTGTCTGGATCTCTTCTCGGCAGCACGGTGGCGCAACTGGCAGAGCTGCTGCCTCTCAGCGAACAGGTCCCTGGTTCAAACCCCGGTCCAGGGGCCTTTCTGGGTGGAGTTTGTATGTTCTCTCCGTGCATGCGTGGGTTTTCTCCGGGTACTCCAGTTTCCTCCCACAGACCAAAACATGCATGTTAGGCTGATTGGTAACTCTAAATTGTCCCTAGGAGTGAATGAGAGAGTGAATGGTTGTTTGTCTCGTTTGTCTCTATGTGTCCCTGTGATGGACTTACGACCTGTCCATGGTGTACCCCGCCCCTCGCACAGTGATTGCTGGACATGGGCACCGGCGACCCCCGTGACCCAAAATGGAATCAGCGGGTAAAGATAATGGATGGATGGATGGATCTCTTCTCGTGCATAACTCTAAACTTAAATATTCAAAACGCCCTGTGGAGAGGATGGGGGGTCTTGTACAGATTCAAATCAGGTCAGTGGTTAAAACACCTAATTTTGCCATTACACTCTTCCAAATGACCTCTCCCACTGCATTTTTGTTCACTCACTCCGTCCAGGGGTCCCTCTGGAAAGGTCACCTCCAAGAGATTGGACGGTCCTCATCTCAGACAGATCAGAGGTTTCACAAGCAGAACTTCTCAGTCTGCTTTGTTGCTGTTTCACCGTACTTTGTACACAGATCCATCAACTCTGACCCCAGGAATTCTGTTTCTGCAGTGAGTGGAAATATCTGAGGTTACTGTAATCTGACCTTCAGGTTCTGATCCAGATCTCCAACACACAGAAAAGCCATGAATCACAACCTTTACCTCTAGAATGTCAGAAACACATGCAGCATTAAAACACATTTCCAATTTCAATGTTTTTCATAGCTTCAAAAATAAAAAAAATTAAAAAAAATACAAGAGTAAAACTCTTCCTTAAGTGTATTTTAATACTTCTCCATATTTCAATGGTAAAATAAACTTGCTTTCATGGTCAAAAGATATCAGAGTTTGCCTATCAAGTTTCAATAATCTAGATTGTAGGTGATTGGTTCTAATCAGGGCCAGATTAACACTTTGCTGTACCCTGGGCAACAATCTTCAAGGGCCCCATCATCACCATAATCTGGCAAAGTACAGAATAAATTACCATAATATAAAGCAAATATACTTAAAATTCTAACTATCAAGTGTATCTTTATGTATAAAACTCCAAATGCTCATTGACACAAATCATCAAGACTGAATTAAGTTGAACGCACTTTGACACCACATGACACCATATGTGTACTTGTTTAGTAATGTGTTGGCCCCTGGTGTCAGAAGCATTTATAATGTGTGTGTGTGTGTGGGGGGGGGCATACTGATGGAGGGTCTGGGGGTACTCCCCCTAGAAAATTTTGAATAAAGTAGATGCCATTTCCTGCATTCTGGTGTATTTTAATGGTTGTTTAACATCTAGTTTTACCTACATAAGTAAACACTTGGAACACCTTGGGATTCACCTGGAGGAGCTGGTCCAAGTGTCTGGGGAGAGGGAATTCTGGACCTCCCCACTTAGGCTGGTACCCTACATACATCTTTTTTCCA